TGCCACCCTAGGTGAGGACCTCACCCTTCCTTGCTCATACTATTAAACTCATCTGTGTTCTCTTTTCTTCTCTGATTAATCCTTCAAAAGTCTGCAATGTTATCTTTCTAATACATACCCCTTCTCTCTTCCCAACCTGTTAGTAGCTTCCTGTTCTAAATTCTTAGGTATTCATAGACCAGCCCCACAACTAGGACTACCTTTTACAGCTTCATGTGCTGCATTCTTTCTTTCCTCTCATCCCCCCATAGGTATCCTTCTCTGACGTAACTCACTATTTATTCCATGCTTTGCTATGCTCTTCCTCCGCAATACTCTTAACTCCTTTTTCTTTACCTATCAAAATCTTACTCTTTTGCCAACTAAGTATGTGTTAATCTCCATTTTCAGCTACACACCTGAGGAAGTTGCCCTTCCATACCAAATATAAAATTTTTGTATTATGTCTGTTTGTATGTTTGCTCATGTCATGGGTTTATGGAAGAGATCCTGTATTCATCTTTTAATTCCTCCATAGCACTGGACACATTAACTTTTACATAGTATGTACTATTTTACTATTTGTTGAATGAAGAGTAAATATTTACATCATAAATTTTATTTTTCATAATTTGAAGAAGTCATGCTAAAAATCATTTTATTCCTTCCTAGGAAATCATGTTACATTGAGTAATAGTGATAATAAAGGTTAATATCTAGTGTTTTGAAAACTTATTGAATTTCAAAATTATGGCATTGATTGACATTGGAACTTATCATCTTTTTCCTTTTTTGCTTCATCTTGACTTTAATAATTTATTATCCTATTATTTCTAGCAAAGTGTACTATTTTTGTGCCTCCTAATATCATAATATTTGACTCTAATCTCACATTAAGTTTCCCTAGTGGGTATTTTGCTTATTATGTACTACTTAGAATATTTTTTATTTGGAATAATGATCATCACTTGGATTTTAATATTTACTAATATTTAAATGTAGTTGTACAGTTATAACATGATGAAAAGTGGAGGTTTAGAACTAAACTAACATTTTTGTTTTAGCGTATGGAGGACCTAGAGGAAAATCATGGAAATCTTTTTACTTGTGAGCAAAGTGAATTGAGAAAAGAAATGGCCAAGTTGCAAACTGAACTCATGATGGAAGCTGTAAGTGTAGTATATATTAATATTTATACTGTAAGTAGTGTAAATTTAAACTAAGGATTCATTTAAGAGTAAAATATTTTATCTCCTGAATTATGCATAATAGTTACCTAATATTAACAATTTATATTTCTTTTCATCTAACAGCAGCAGCATGAGGCAGCCAGTGTTCGAAAATCTCTCATTGCCTTGTTATTCTCATAACACTGTGAAGAACGAAGCTGAACCTAAGTTATGTGATACAGTCATAAAATTAGCTACATGAAGCCAGTATGGCTTAAAAATTCTAGTTCAAATTATCATATCTTCTTTATTATCTTGTTAATTGCCAGTCCTCCTTTCTATTAAAACCCAAATAAATTCTAAACAGTTATGTGAGTAGCAGCAATTCCAAACTGATACATATCAAGCTTCCAGCCCTTTGGTAGTAATAGTGACTTTTTCTCCCTGACACTGTCAATTAACTTTTATCAGTAAACATGATTTAGTATTATGTTTGGCTTCAGTGAATCTGTGTCAGTCCCCAAAGGTAGAAAACACAGTTATGGAAAATTACATTGTTTTTTCTTAAGGAAAATAATTCTAGAAGAGACAGTCTATCTTATGTAAATAGTTTTGGATGTATGCATTGTTACATAAAGAACCTATTCTAATAAAACTAAGGTTTCAAAAGAATTATATTCTATAGACTTAAAAATTTATTAAAAACAATATAAGTTTATGCCCTTTAATAAATTAAACTGCTAAAAGTCATTAAGACAGCTGAATAAGATATGTGAGTATCAGTTGTGAGATGTGAATTTGTCATTTCTGCAAAAAAATGAAAATATCATTCAGTTGATTTTGGTCTATTAATTTTCAGGAGTATATTCTTTTCCTTTTAAGGAGTATAAACTCTCAATTTTTGTTCAATATTGCTTTTCCTTGCTTAAGATAGATATAGTAGATGTTCATTAGTCTATGATTTTTCTGATAATTTCATTATGTAGCATATGATCTATAGAACTGTTGGATAAAATTAAAAATACGTTCAAATGGGAGTACTGATATCTCACTGAATAGTCTACTGATCATAGTGTTATGTGACATCTATTAAAATATCTTTAAAAACTTAGAAATTTGCATACTTAAGATTACCATCAATAGAAAAACATTATCTACAAAATTAGTAAACTTCTGGTCAAAAAATAAAACAGTAAACAGTGGCTTCAAGATACAGCTCACTTTTAGTTCTATGAGATACCTATAAAGAAGTAAAATTACATATTTATGGAGCCCTATTTATGTAATTAGATTTGAAAAGTCACTCCATCTTTTATTATTAAATTTTAACTGTTTTAGCTTTTGAGGAGTCAGAATTAGTTACAGCTTTATTTGAAAGCAGATAAAAATAGAGAGAAAAATTACTAGCACACTTGATATGATACTTTCAAACCTCTCAAATTCATGACTGAGTAACTGATTACAACTTCAATATCTAAATTGTTTATTTTCAAAATTATAATGGACCATAATAGTTACACTAATTGTAAGGAACTTACCCTATAGGTGACAGTCAGTGTCTGTGAACACAACCTTCACTCACATCGCAGTCTCACAGTGTCCGTGGAGCACAGGCAGCTGACCATTTATCCTGTGATGGCACCACAGAGGAAAGCCATCCATTGGATGAGGAGTTGGCAGCCCCGTGTGAGAGGATCAAGTCCTTTATTTACACCAGGAATCATCAATTAAAAGAATGCCTTACCACCAATTGTGTGAGACTTTAGCAGAGACAAACTCAGACATTGGGGTGTAAAGGCAAGAAGGCTTTGCAAACACAGTGGTTGATGACTTCCTGTAGCTCTTTCATGGCAGAAGGACCATTAATCCGTGGATTGAAGGTGACACGACACTGGGGCCCCAGGGAATACAGCAGAAAGCATCATGTTGTCACATTGCATCTATCATGCAACACACTGGGGACCTGAGGAAGGGTATGCTATAGCTCATGGCCTAGAGGAGAGTCCAGAGCAGGGCTGTGCTCTTCAAACTCTCACAGGGCCTAAGGTTACACACGAAGGTGATACGGTGCCACCGAGGTTTGACTCCACTTTTTATACACCTGATGTTTTTCACTAGTGACCAGCTAACAAATACCCATGAGATTTCTTCTATGCAAAATTTGCTGTGTCGAAATCTATCAACATTTGAATGGCCAGGTTAATATTTTGTGCAGATATCTAAATTAAGCTCATCCGTCTGAAGCTGCAAACACCTTCATCACTGCTTAGGAGGAGCTCGAGGTTGCCCTGGCATCTGTGCACACACCCCCTTTATTGCACTCAGACTGCAAATGCTCTGAGATGTAAGGTTGAACCAGGCAGCCAGTTGCATTTTTGGCCGGAAGAATGAGGATCCTCTCAGTGCTGGTCATCCAAAACACATTGACACCAATTAGGTAGTAAGGCTTCTCAATCTGGAACCCTCAATGCATACGTCTGTCCCTTAAAACAGATTTGTTCTCATTTCATTGTAAAACAGAATGATGCCATTATCTACATCACAGGATTATCCTGAGGGTCAGTGTGGCAGAAATGGGAGGCATCAGGCTCCTGTCTCCCCAGTCTTCCTCCTCACACCAGGCCATGCAGCTGGGAGTCACTGAGCCAGGCCTGTGACCTCAGAATGGCTTGTGTCTTCCTAAGATTTCCTAGTATGCTAAGCTTGAATTGAACAGTGACCTTCTAAGAACCAACTTCTATCGAAATACTGGGAGGTCCCCAACCAAGCAGACAGCAAAAACACTCCTCAAGGTAAGAATCTCCACCTCCTGTAGTATAGAGAATATGCAAATTAGCAACTTTCTGTCCTGATCTTGTGTTGCAAGTTTCAAGTGTAGTATATTGTGTGCATTTATTTGTTTTAATATTTAATGTAAGAGATAACATTTAACCTGCGAAAGGTATCAACTGATGTATTTAATTGTGTTTTAGGAAAATGGGGTTTTCTATGTGGGGATATATTCATGCATAGGGGAAAATGCCATAATGTTGTATACGAGATAATGAAATGTTAATATAATATTAATAAATATAGTAAAATGAAAGATATAAAATGAAGAAAAATAGGTACAGAGGTGGCACTACCATTAAGTCCAGGGCAGAACATTTTTTAAAAATCAGGAGTGTAATATTGTTCTCCTGAATATTTCAAAAGTGCTTAAATTAAGTATAAATTTGTATACTCAAATTTACCATACAAACCCACATTAGTGTTCTTCAAAATGAGGACTTCAGAAAGGTGATGACTGGGGCATCTGAATGTCAGTTACATCAGGTTTAATGAAGGAGGACAGCCAGTGGACAAGAGGTCTGTGAATAAAATTCCTGAATGGGGAAGACTGCTAATTCTGTGTCAAGCACCAAAGGTATAGACATGTCTATTGGCTTAGTTTATTTTTACTGTCAGTTGTGTGACTGAATCATCATTTGCCTACATGGTTAAGTTACCAATGCTGGAGAGCAACATAAGTTCACATATTTGTGAGGTCTCCATTAGTGTACAGATGGGGGGAAGGGACTCTGCAATAGCATATGTTAAATTGCTGAGGAAAGTTATTCACTGAGGTGACAGAGACTGTTACTCTCTCTGTTATGTGCTTCTACAAGGTTTGAATATTTTTATACAATCTTGGATTACTTTTATAATCAAGAAAAAATTATAGTAATATAAGCCAACTGACTTAAATTCTTTTTTATATTCACAACCAAGCCTTATTACTTTATTAGAGCTAAAGAAGCATATCAAAGATTAGGGAATGGAAGGGAGAAATCAGGACCAGTTCATGGGCTGGAGATGAACCTGGAAAACTTGTCAATGAAGTAAGGTTGGCTCAGAGGTACCAGGCATGGTGGAGGCTGTGCTTCCATCCAGGGGAAGTGGTGGAGAGGGAAATAACTGCTCCTGGCTGCCCCAGGAGATGTAATCCAGCTGTGTGCCTGCATGGTACTCATCGATGAACTCCTGAACAACCTTCCTGGACCTGTCCATCTCATCAAAATTGTCCTTGAACATAGGCTCCTTGAAGAACTCCTCCAGGAAGGTATCCCACTTCTGTAGCTTGTCGAACTGCTGGCAGGAACTTTCAAAGAGTGAAGAGATGCTGGTGTGGTTGGCCATTATAATCCTACTGGTCCATTGAGCTGAGGGCAGGTAGGAACACCTCCTCAACAGTGCTACCTGGATGCTGGCTGGGCCCCAGGGGGATGAAGTTGGCCAGCTTTCCTTCCTGGATCCTCTGCAGGCTTTTGTGGACCTGGGTGGGGTCTACCTCTCCCTGGATGATGGTGAGGATAGTAATGTAGCAGTGGCTGGTCTGGCAGTCCCGGCCTGTGAGCACCATCATGCTCTTGCGCTGAAGCAGCCACCTCATGACCTCCAGGACTGTGGTCTTCCTCATGTTGGCCACTGACTGGTCCATAGTCAGTGTAGGGGGGTGTAGTCAGTTGTGAGGAAGTAGAACTGTGGGGTCAGAATGAGCGAGGCAATGAGTCCAATGAGGTCATTTGTTCATGAAGCTGAGGTAACACAGGATAGTGGTACTGGCCAATGTGATGGTGGACACCAGCTGGTTGATCTGGGAGAAGGACAGATTCTGGATGTGCATGCAGTCTGTTGCGATCCAGTTCAGAGCCATGTCATCCAGCACCACCACACAGTCTGCCTTCTGGGTCAGCCTCTTGAGCATGAGGAGAGAATTGTTGGGCTGGCACACCATGTGACTCATCTCATTCTGATAGGGAAACACTGAGTACGTCTGCACCAGCTTCATGGGGTACCTGTCATTCAGTCACTCCAGGAGGTAGGAGCCCAGACCAGAACCTGTCCCCCAGGCAATGGAGTAATGCAGCACAAAGCCCCTTTGACTGTCACTTCCATCTGCTTCTTCATCTATGATGTCAAGGATGTCTTCATGGATTTTCTCACCCTGGGAAAATCTGCTGATCCAGTTGTTTCCAGATCCTCCTCCATGCTTGGACAGGTAGATGTTCTTTGGTTTGTCCCAACTGATTTAAATTCTTAAACACTCCCTATCAATTTTACTTAAAAAGAAATCTAGGATTTGCTTTAATCCAGTGGCTCCAGGGCCCACATCAAAGAAAGGGTATATATGAAACAGAATCAGCTGTCCATAGTTAATTTTTGAAGATGGATGATCAATACATACGGTCTCTACACTTTTGTGCATGTTTAACAAGTTTCAAGCACCATTCCTGTTCTGGAAGAGTGTCAAAAATCACTCCTATATAATGGATGGACTTGAGAACATTATGCTAAGTTAAACAAGCCAGTTACAGAAGGACAAATACTGCACAGTTCCACTATTATAAGATATCTAATGTAGTCAAACTCATACAAGCAGAAAGTATAGCGGTTATTGCTGGAGCTGGGGAAAATGGAGAATTGAGCAAGCAGCATAGAGGTTCAGTCATACAAGATGAAAAAGTTCTAGAGTTCCACTGTTGAACAATGTATGTAAAGTTAACAACACTGTACAGTGCAACTAAAAATTTAAGAGCATATATTTCCTGTAATGTGCCTTTGACAACCATAAAAAAGAAACTCCTAATTTCCTCATTCAATATACTCAAAACCTCAGACAATCTCTTAGTGTTTCCCTGCTTTTTTTTTTTTTTTTTTTTGGCTGCACATTGTAGTAGGGAATGTGTGGGCTTTGGAGTCACACAAACTCCTGCTCAAATACTAGGTCATCTGGAACGAATTACTTAACCTGGCTGGTCCTCAGAATCATGTTTTGTAAAATAAGGATAAAATAGCCCCATCTATCTTGCAGAATTGTTAGGATTAGATATACATGTTGTTCAATAATGACAGATATTATTATCCTTTAATTATCACATAGCTAGTGCCCGGACCAAGATAAATGTCTAATAAATACATGTTGAATAAATATATTAATTCATTATAAATACACTTTTATTGGAATTTACACTCAATTCACACTTTCTTCTTCATTTCTTGTTGCTATTACACTAATCTAATTTTAGATTACAGCCAAAGGTCTCAGTATAGATAAAAAAATTCAAAATTATCTATCAGTATACTAATTTAGCACTTTTTCTTTAAACACTCCCTAAAGTAGTCTCAACTTTGTTCCTGTTCTTACTGAAAACTCATCCCCAATTCCCTGGATCTGTGTCTGTTTAACCTCCCAAAGGCCCTTCTACTACTTAATCCCATGTACCACTCCCTTCTGCCAATAATATTCCTTCATTTCTTTAGGAATTGGCTAAAGACTAACAGTTTTCATAAAAACATCCCTATACTCATTGAGTCTACAATTGCCTTGCCCTTACTTAGGCTTTCTTCAGAGCTTATGGAAACCTAAAGCATTTCAATTCACATTTGGTTATGGAATGAATGTATTAGCAGAGTCACAGAAATAAGTCTCCTGTTTTAATACAAGGAAGTATGTGGTCCCTAAAGTACGGGATGTATCTTGAATGTCCTTTGTATTCTTCCACAGTATCTAGTACAGTTCTGTTCCCACAGCATTGAGCAACAGTCCTGAGGAGGTGGAGTTTGGAACTTGATGTTTGCATACTTCAGTTTTAATCCTGGGTCTATAACCTATAAGCACTATAAGTTACCAAAACTCCCAGCCTCATTTGTACAATTAAGGTAATACCCACTTTATAGGGGCAATGCCAGGGAAAAATGAGATAATGCATGTGAAGCATGGGACATGCTTGTGTCCACTGGGCTGTAGCTGCAATTATTCCAGAATTGAGAATCAATGTTAAAAATGGTCTAAGGCCCTCCCTCTGCTCACTAGCCATGATTTTGAGCTTCTCTTGTCATTTATAAATTCCGGACATTTTTGTTAAGAGCCACTCTTTGCCCTATGCAAAACTGACATGGGCTAAAAAGATTCAGTGGGCACGGAAGCCAAAGGTGGGAACAAGGAAAAGGCAGAAAGTTCTTAAGGAATGAGGAGCAGAGGAAGCTACATGGGCAAGGGAAATAGAGATTAGTCTTCCTACCATGTGTGCTGTTTTCTGAGGCATAATCTAACACACACATACTCTCACACATGCACACTCACACACATATCTGTATATGATTAATGAGTAATGATTGCTCTTTAATATTTATAAGATGTTTCCATATTGTCTCACCAATAGTCCATGACAGCTGAGAGTCTCATGAATTACCTGTTGTTGGTGACCATTATCAAGGGGGTCCTCCCGTTTGGGGCACAGGAAGATTTGCCTGAAAAGATCATGAAGCTTTGATATCCATTATTTTATTTTAAAAGTCAACTGCTGCATATTTAAACACTGCATGCCCTTTTGTTCTATGTTATTTCAGGACCTTAACACTCATATATTTCATTAGAAAATAAAAGTGATACCCAAGTTACTCCTGCCTAATTCCTATTTAACAAAAACTGTCAAAACAACTAAAAGACATCTACAAAGGATTTATAGATATCATGCTTTTCACTATATATTTATTGCTGATCTCCTAAAAACTGATTGTTGAACATAAAATCTCCAATATTGTGTTAATGAAGTATCAATTTTATACACTATATGCATACTTCACAATTCGCCTTTTGCTATTGTACATAAACCCCACAAAACTATTCAAGAACCCTCAAAATAAAAATATACTTACTAACTATATTAAATCTGGAAGAAGAAATTTAAAATTAAGCCAATTAACAATTTAAAATGTATAACCAAAATGTTTTTTCCGATAAATTTGCAAATAAACTGTCTTCAACTTCTATATATGCAGGGTATTTTATAAGAGCATATTTTGTTACAAAAGGCAATAGAAGTTAAAGAATTGCTCATATAAATTTTTAAATTTTTTTGGTTTCTGCCTCTGAACAATTCTAGCTTGTAGAAAAATCTTGCATTGCTCTCTAAACACATTCTACAAGCATAAACAAAAAGTGATAAAAATTAGGCAAATTTTAATATGAAGGAAACATAATTCTACATTAAAGTTAAAGGAATAGTCTTTAAATCTATACTTGTTGACATTGTTTAACAACTTTTATGACCAATCTTAAATAATTGTGTTCACCGCTAACATGCGAAAACAATATAATAATCCTTTCCATCAGACATTGATTAGGAAATTTTCCTTCTTACGAATATTTAAAATGTCTTAATTCTGGATTTCAAAACCCACAGATGATCTTTTCAATAATTTGTTCTCCACAAACAGGTAAGATCTATGTAATAATTCTACCTAACATAAAATTAAGGAAGAAATATTCTTTCTTACCAATATTCAAAATATGTATTAATTCTTCATCATTTGTACCTGCATACAAATGAACCTTCTGATAACACTTGTCTTTCTGTTCCTTGACCTACTCTCCAGCAATAACTTTGTCCTCTCCTCTTCTTGCCACTCACTTACATAGTCATCTTCTAGATTGTGCCACATCTACATAACACTAATTCTAGCAATCATATGGAGGAACCATACAGCAGATACTGTTCTGAACATTTTAAATAAACTTATATAGGAACTCTTTAATATTCAAAACAACACCGAGGTAGGTACTCTTAGTATGTCCCCTCTCAAACAAAAGGAAACTGAGGCCCACAAATAATTTGCTCATGATTTCACAGTTAACAATGGTAGAATCAGAGCTAGATCCCAAGTAGTGTGATTCCAAAGTCCAGGCCCTTGACCACTGCACTATAATGTTTCTCCACTTTTCCCAACATCCAGCCACTACCTTCCTGCCTTTGTAGGTTAGGTCACTCACTTCAGTACTACAGCTCAGTAGTCTACAGCTGTGGTCCCCAACCCCCGGGCTGTGAACTGGTACTGATCTATGGCCTATTAGGAACCAGGTGGCACAGCAGATAATCTGTATTTACAGCTGCTCCCCATCACTCACATCACTGCCTGAGCTCTGCCTCCTGTCAGATCGGCAGTGACCTTAGATTCTCATAAGTGTTCGAACCCTACTGTAAACTGCATGTATGAGGGATCTAGGTTGTGCACTCCTTATGAGAATCTAATGCCTGATGATCTGAGGCAGAGCTGAGGTGGTGATACTAGCACTGGGGAGCAGCTGCAAATACAGATTATCATTAGCAGAGAGGTTTGACTGCACAAAGACCATAAGATATCAATTGCTTGCAGACTCATATCAAAATCCTATCAGTGGCCGGGCATGGTGGCTCACGCCTGTAATCCTAGCACTCTGGGAGGTCAAGGTGGGCAGATCATTTGAGCTCAGGAATTCGAGACCAGCCTGAGCAAGAGACCCTGTCTCTAGTCTCTACTATAAATAGAAAGAAATTAATTGGCCAACTAATATATATATACAAAAAATTAGTCGGGCATGGTGGCACATGCCTGTAGTCACAGTTACTCAGGAGGCTGAGGCAGGAGGATCGCTTGAGCCCAGGAGTTTGAGGTTGCTGTGAGCTAGGCTGACACCACGGCACTCTAGTCCGGGCAACAGAGTGAGATTCTGTCTAAAAAAAAAAAAAAAAAAAAAAGCCCTATCAATGGCAAGTGACAGTTAAGCTGCATCTGGTGGCAGGCTTTATAGTGGCAAGTGAGTATCCCCCCACTCCCACTGCATGGAAAAATTGTCTTCCATGAAACTGGTCCCTGGTGCCAAAAAGATTGGGGACCGCTGGTCTATAGGACCTAACATCTATTGAATGGAATGCTTTTCACTGTCCAACACCCCACCCCCACGTCCTCACTTTTTTCAGTTCCAGCTTCAATTCCACGGTCAGTCATCATACCTCTGTCCTTGCTGCTATACCCCACACCTCTCTCTCGGGTAACATGCTCAGCTAAAGCCCAGCCTAGAAAAAGCCAATTCCACAGCTGCTCTGACTCAACCAAGCTGACTGGTCTCATTGTAAATTCATGATTGCTATGACACTAACCTAAGATGGACCCCCTAATGCCACTTGGCATTTACATTCCCCTGGTCCATTCACTGGCCCACTCTCAGGAAACAATTCCAGGCCTTCTCCCCTGCCCTAAAGGCAACACCTCCTCTCCTGCCCCTATCTCTAACTGAGGACCTTACTGTCTCTCTAAAGGGACAGGACCAGTCCAAAGAGGACGTCCAGGCTCCCGTCACCACACCTCCCACCCACCTCGTCCATCTGTACTCATGGACTCTACCTTCTCTCCTGGAAGTTTCGCATGAATGATTGCTACTTCAGAGTCTGGCGAAAAAGATTGATTAATTAGAAAGCTAAGCCTGATACCAACAGAGTTTTTTTCTTTTTGTTCCTCAGCTTTCTGAATATCTATATTCCACTGTTGAAACAAAGTCAGAAATTTCTGAGAATATGTGTAATGAAGAGTCTGCCTGCAATGCATAATAAGGAACACAGTCATACTTCATAAAAATATAGAAAAAGTAAGCATAGTCAAAACATTTGATTTGGCATAACATATCACAAAATGAGAAGGGAGTATCAGCAGCTGACATTTTCTCATGGGAAAAAGATCAAATGATTTACTTTAATTCTAAATGTATTTCTTCCTGACTGACTGCCAGATAAGCTATCTTAACATTCTTTACCTCTTGAAAATAAAGGAAGATGTACTGTAGTAAAAATTTTCCAGAAATATTCATTTTATCTAAGAGCAGTTTACTTTTCATTTCCTCTCATTGACTAACATGTGAGTTTGACATGCTAGGTAGATTCAATGAGGACATCATATCCATTCATCCTATACTGTTCTGGCAAGTGTACAGCAAGTGTTAACAGCGACTGACCAGGGAAGGTAGCAAGCAGCACACGGAGAGTCAGAGAATCACCCTTTATTCCACTAGCAGGCTCAGAGGGGCTCTGAGCCCCGCTTCCTTGTTCTTCTCCAGTTTTATACCCTTGGTGGGATTCAAAAAGCGTCCAATCAGCAACAAGGTTTAACATCCAATCGGCAACAAGTTTTACATCCAATCAGCAACAAGCTTTAACATTCAATCAGCAACAAGCTTTACATCCAATCAGTAATGAGTTCAGCCATGGGGCCCCAGGGTGGGTGTTTTTCCCTATTATTCCCCCCTTTTGATGTCCTTATCAGTTTATACAGTGGCATCAACCTCTCTATGAATCTAATAACTGCATTGAGCAAGCAGGGTCCCATGGTTACCATCAGGAGGATAGAGGCCTGGCTAGGGGCAATAGCTAAGCCCCAAGCCTGTTCTAACTCCTGTTTTCTCTTGTGGATTCTTTCTTTTAGCCCTTTGACTTTGGTAGTTATAATTCCTGATTGGTTTACATAGTAACAGCATTCTTCCCCCAGAGAGCCCCAACCAAGAACAACACAGAGGCACCCCATGTAGACCCAGAAAAAGATTACCAAGAAGCAAGTTAGTCCAGTCTCTTGGGGCAGAGGCCCCGAGTCCAATTCCCAAGAAAACTGTCAGTATTCCTATAAGAGTCCAGGCCAGTGGTCCCATTCAGTCCAGCCAGATTCAGGGGCAATCCATATACATTGGCCTTTTTGTCTTGGGCATACCTGAGGGCTTGGATGAGCGCCCATAACTCTGCCCTCTGGGCTGACCATCCCTGAGGCAGAGGGGCTGACATGACTTCACTCCCTGTGATGACTGCATAGCCAGCCAACCGTTTGTCATCCTGGATGTAACTGCTGCCGTCCGTGTAGAGCTCCAGGTCGGGCTCCGGCAATGGACTATCTTTCAAGTCTGGCTGGCTTGCATAGACCTCCTCCACAGCCTCAGCACAGTCATGGTCCAGGGGCCTTGGCCTGGTAGGAAGAAAGGTGGCAGGGTTTAAGTCCTCACAGTCTCGATGGTGACTCGTGGGTTTTCACACAGCAGTCTCTGGTACTGCACCAGCCGAATGCTAGAAAGCCAATGGTACCCTGATGTGTTCATTAAATCCACTACTGCATGCGGGACTTGTACACGAATATTTTGCCCAAGCATAAGCTTGTCCGCCTCCTTGATTATCAAGACGGTTGCTGCCAGTGCTTGCAGACGAGGTGGCCATCCCAATGCTACCGAGTCCAGCCGTTTGGACAGATAGGCTACTGGCCTCTGCCAGGGGCCCACAGTCTGCGTCAGTACCCCCATAGCTACCTGCTTCTTCTCACCTCTGAGGGCACCCTGTTCAGCCTCCTCAAGCCGGGCCTGGAGCTCCTGCACCGTCTGTTCCAGTGTCTCTTCATCTGTTCCAGGTGTGCACTTGTGTCCTGCTCCTTCTTCAGCTCCTCAGCCATCATGACGGCATCAGTGATGGCCTTTTTGGCCTTCTCTGCCTTCCACCTCTCCTGGGCAGCCTCCTCCACCTCCCCACTCAGCTGGACCAAATCCGCCTCGAGCTTCTTCTTCTGGTTCAGAAGGCCTGTGTTCTGCAAATGCAGGAGGTTGAGGCACTCAGTGGCCTCCAACAGCTCCTGCTCCGCCAGCCGCCAGCTGTGCTCACCCTGCTCCAGTGTAGCCCACAGGTCCTCCAGCTCAGAAGCCAGCAGAGCAGCCCGGCACTCCAGGGCCTGCGCCTGCTCTTGGAGCTCAGCTGCCAGCTGCTGCTCCTTATCCCGCCCTGCCTGCTCCTCCTTCAGCTGGGCCTGCACCAGCCGTGTGGCCACCTGGGCCTCAATGGCCTGATGGGTAGCATGGCCTAGCTGCAGCTCCAGGTCATTGAGGTCACCCTCTATCTTCTTCTTGAGTCTCAGTGCTTCGTTGTGGGCCTGGGTCTCAGTATCCAGGGAGGCCTACAGGGACTCCACTGCCCGTTGGTGGTTGCGCCTCAGGTTAGTGTACTCCTTATCTTTCTCCGCCAGCTTCTTTTTGGCCTCCTCCAACTCCTCAGTCCTCTGGATGGCGTCTGCCTCATACTTGCTCAGCAAGTCCCATCCCAAGAGAGGCACCGGACAGTCTGGCATGTAGACGGTCTCGTGCCTTATCTGATGGCCCCCTATTTGGCATACCCAGGACTGGCAGAAGGGTCTGGCTACCCGAGTCCCAGTAGCTCTGACTATAGTTGTTTCCTACTTTGTAATCAGACCACAGAGGTTGTCACAACTGAGTGTTCTGCTCCAGTGTCCACCATGAATGTCATTTGTTGGCCCCCTACTTTCATCTTGACCGTAGGTTCCCGAAGGCCAAGATTGAAGGAACCTGGTAGGCCCAACTTGGAATCAATGCCAGCAAGCCCCACTAGCTCTTGGGCTTCTAGTTTCTCTTGGATAGTCCCAAACGGGGCCCTCCCTTGTGACAGGTGACTTCTCTTGTGGGGGCATTTATTCTTCCAGTGGCGGAACCCCTTGCAATTGGCACACTGGTCTCTTGCCAGGGATGCTCATCCTCTGGTTCCCCCCTTTTGTGGGGGTCCAGGCCGCTTGGATGGGTCGGGTCTACTGAGGGCAGCAGCCAGGAGAGTGGCCTTTTTCTTCATCCTCTGATCTTTCTACAGAGGAGCAGACCGATCCCGGTTGATGTACACCTTCTGGGCCACCTCCATTAACCGTGTGATGCTCATGCCTGCGAATCCTTCGAGTTTCTGCAGCTTCCTCCGGATGTCGGAGGCCGATTGCCCAACGAATGCTGCATTCGCCATTCTCTGGTTTTCAGCTACCTCCGAGTCAATAGGTGTGTATATTCGGTATGCCTCACAGAGGCGCTCGTAGAAGTCATAGGGTGACTCCTCTGGCTTTTGGGTAATTAGGGCAACCTTGTTCATGTTGGTCGGCTTTTTGGCCCCTTCCCGCACTCCTTGGAGAAGAGCCTCTCGGTACCACTTGAGTGCCGCTTGTCCTTCTGGTGCGTTGAAATCCCACTCTGGGTTGGTCTCGGGCACCGCTCGTGATGCCCATCATTCCACATCCAAGGTGCTCGCAGGCGCCCGTTCCTGCAGCCACTTCCAAGTTCCAGTCATGATCCGATGCTGTTCTTTGGTACTGAAAAAGGTCAGTAGGAGTTGTCGGCAATCTTCCCACGTGGGACGGTGAGTCTGGAAGATAGACTCCAGGAGGTCGACGAGGGCCTGCGGTTTCTCCGAGTAGAATGGTATGGTGTTTCCAATTCAATAGGTCAGTGGTGGAGAAAGGCTGAAAATACAGGGCAGTTTGCCCCAGCTGGACAGTTCCGTCATCCTGAACCTGCAGCAGACCTCACATTTCACGCAGAGGCATCTGGAAGGCCGGGGTAAGAGGGTTAGGCAGACCGCAACCAGCAGACGAGTGGTGGAGACTTCAGCGGTGGAGAAACCGATGGTGGTGGGTGTCAGGTACAGTCCCAGTCACCACTCTCCATACTGAACGTATGAAATTTATCAGCATGCACCCTAGAACTGTTGGCTTAGATTCGGACCCTCCCATGTTTTAACTGGTTTAACCAGCCCTCCTGTTCCCTACACCACCGACAACACGCCTTTTCTGAACCTTGTCCCTGCCCAGACTCTAGTCCCCGCTCCAGCTCCTCCCCTTTCTCTTTCGTTGCAAGACAGACAAGGGGTAGGAGCTTCTTTCAGGTGTCCGCCTGGCTGTGTCCCTTGCGGGAACTTAGACACGTCTTGGCTAAGGCATACTCGTATAAAGCCCAAGCCTGGTCACTCCCTATCATGGGGAGTGAATCGTCATTATGCTGTATGACGTCACCACAGAACCGCAGGTTAGGCCCCACTCAAACCCCATAGCCGAAGCCATGGGGCCACAGACACAATGACCGCAAGCAGTCACTGTGTTCCTTCCACTCACACATTCACACAGAGGTTACACATTCCCTCCCCTGGGGGATCCCTGTCCTTAGGAAGTGATCAAGCTCCTCTTCTGTCTCACTGACGGGTCTACCCTTAGGAGGTGATAGGGCTCCTCTTCCGTCTCGCTGACGAGCCTACCCTGGGCGGGTCCCGGGACTCTACCTTGTCCAATGTCCTGGCCTTGGTCTGACTGGTCCTTCCCTCCAGAGTGTCCGGGTGAGTCCAAGGCTCTGCGGCCTGCAGGAGCTCCTGAGGAGAGAGGATTCCCACAAATGGTGGTTCGGCACCCACTCATCTCAATTGTAGAGGTCCCGCTGTCTGCTGTGCTCGTCCCTGTTCTGGTGGCTTCAAGGGGCCAGCGCGGTCAGCTTTCCAGGTCAGGGAACCAAAATGTTCTGGCAAGTGTACAACAAGTGTAACAGCAAGTGTTAACAGCGACTGACCAGGGAAAGAAGCCAGTGGCGGAGAATCAGCCTTTATTCCACCAGCGGGGCCCCACCTCCGTCTTCTCCTCCAGTTTTATACCCTTGGTGGGATTCAAAAAGTGTCCAGTCAGCAACAAGCTTTAACATCCAATCAGTCACAAGCTTTAACATCCAATCAGCAACAAGCTTTACATCTAATCAGTAGTGAGTTCAGCCATGGGGCCCCAGGGTGGGGTTTTTTCCCTATCAATAAGACTTCCAAACAGGAATATTTCATTTGATATGTCCTCACTTTGGCACAACAATGATTTTGTAAACAGAATAGTGAACACAACTAAAATATGTAATGTATTTACAATGTTACCCTTTTCTATGTAACTGATTATTAACTATCACAAGACTAAAGGTTTAAGAGATTTACCTTATACTCAACAAGCATATTCCTAGAAATGTATATTAAATTAATTTTACAGGAAAACCCTATTGTTACATGAAAGGGGAAAATAGGTCACCTTTATTGGCTTCTAGCTAATATATTTCAATTTGATTAAACTGAGTTTATAGAACTAAAGAAATTTATCTGCTTAGAGGAAAATCACATGAAATATATTGTTCACTGGAGACTCTGATAAATACAAGATAGTGTTTGTCTAAAGTTATCTGCACCAAATGAATACTAAGAATGACACAAATATTATGGTTCAAAGAAGCCAGCAACCTTACCCCTGCTCTTGCTGTGTTTTTCAAACATGCTCAATGTTTTCATTAGTGGTGTTGATAGAAGCATTTGTGTTCATTACAAACCTTTTTCTGTTTGCAAGAAGAGCCTGTTTAATGTCAGGTACGTAGAAAATAAATATTCATTAAAAGCCAATATTGGGCCGGGCGCGGTGGCTCACGCCTGTAATCCTAGCTCTCTGGGAGGCCGAGGCGGGCGGATTGCTCGAGGTCAGGAGTTCGAAACCAGCCTGAGCAAGAGTGAGACCCCGTCTCTACTATAAATAGAAAGAAATTAATTGGCCAACTAATATATATATACAAAAAATTAGCCGGGCATGGTGGCGAATGCCTGTAGTCCCAGCTACTTGGGAGGCTGAGGCAGGAGGATTGCTTGAGCCAGGAATTTGAGGTTGCTGTGAGCTAGGCTGACACCACGGCACTCTAGCCCGGGCAAAAGAGTAAAATTCTGTCTCAAAAAAAAAAAAAAAAAAAAGCCAATATTGAAAAGTATTTTGTTACCTTATATTCAGAGCAATATGGAAAATTTTGCTTCAAAAATATTAGAAAGACAAAATTTATAATATAAGTATCATTTCAAAAAACAAGATTTGCTCACTTATTTTCTGTGAAAACTTTCAGGTATTAGTATTCCAATTCTAGTTGTTTTGACTACAGATCACTTTTAACTTAAAGATGATAAAAAAGCCAATAATCAAAATAGTTTGTATCTTTAAAATGTGTATAAAAGGTCTCCAAGACAAACTTTAATTTCCACACTTATGAAATATCCCCCAATTCAAAGGACAGGTTTAGATGGAATATTGTCACAGCTCATTATATAAAATACACAAAGGTATTTTATTTAACAATGCCACCAAAAGGATAGAAATTATTTAATATATAAGAAGAAAATTATTTTTAAACAATCTAGTGAGTGATGCTTTTAACTGTATTTTACTAAAAGAGACAATATCCATGGGTGTAAAAATGTTAGTTTAAGTAGATAAATAAATAAATTCAAGAACACTTTTAAAATATTTTATTGGAGCTTTTTATATGATGTTTTTATCCATATGTGTTATGTTTAAGAAAATCTTACTACTATAAGTAATGTCTCACTAAACATATGATTTAACATCAGAGATCTACCATCAATTGTTAGATTTCAAGTAATCATAAAGGATCTGTACCATAATACAAGTATTTTATACCTACAGTATCATCTGTAACAATCAGTTTATTAGATAGCTCACAAACCAGCACTTTGTCACCACCAAGTAGAACAAAGCTTTCAAAATATACTGCTTATATAAATTATCTCTTTAAGAGCCAAAAATTGAATAGGACTCTTTTATAAGAATATAGTTTCCATAGAAGTGCCAGGAAATTAGTAAGACTTTTTAAAGAGTATGGTCCTACAATACAGTTAGTGCAGCTAGCATTTAACATGACAATATAACATTTATGAGTTTTTGGACCCAAGTACATGTTTCTCATTAGCTAGAAAAGTTGTCTTAAGTTTTCCCCTACACAGTTTACTCATAAAAATAACAATAAAAATTCAATTTTTACTGCTACTCCAAAGAAAACAACATCAGAAAGCTGTAAAAACAGAATAACTAAATTAAGAACTTGAAAAACTGATGTTAAAAAACTGATATATCATTTAATCTGTGTACACTAAAAGGGGGAGAGAGGTGTCTCATCAAATTTCCTCTAGTATGTCACAATCCAGTAAATTTCCATGTGGACAAAACAAAAGGAGCACTTTTACCTCACCATTGTTAGAAGCATTCTCACTTTCCCCATCAATAGTTAAAAAGGTCACTAAGGAAATCCATGAAGGAGATCACAATAAGTTAAATCCAATATATGAGAAGGAGGCATTTAACAGTCTAGTAGTCTAGTAATTAACATTTCTTTTGTAAAAGTTGCATAGTTGAAAGCAATTTTCTTTAACTACAAATAGCCCCCAAAACATACCTCTGAAATCTTGTAACATCTTCTGTACATCATCCCTGTGAGTTATATCAAGACTGTAAAATAATGCTACATAAATTAATGTTTGTTGGAGAAGAAATGTCTCAGGTGAAATGTTTACATAGCATAGTCATTACCTGAGCCAAAGGAGACTCCCTAAAGTACCTTATCCAACAGGCAAAAATTATGTTAAACACATTACCCATGTTTATCAGTTCCTGGATCCTTTCCGGTATTGAAATAAAATGGAGAAACACGTTAGATGAACGATGCTATTCTGCAAAGGTTTCATGGAGAAATGTAATCTTGGTGAAATTATTGGGCTCCTTGCCATGAAGAGCTGCAAAGCAGACCTATACGTGGGACCATTTAGGTGGAAGTCACGGGAAATGAGGTCAGGGTCCGAGACCATTTCACTGAGGCACTTCTGCAAACCTGTGGGGGTTGCAGTCACAGAAAACCATATACTGCCTATCAGACACCTTAGAGGTAAGAGCTGCACTCATCCAGAAGAGCTAGGCTATGTATGATAAGGGTCCAGTTTCGTTCTTTCTCATGTAGATATTCAGTCTCCCCCACACAATTTATTGAAGACACTATTCTTTTCCCGTTGTCTATTCTCGCTGGGCTTGTCAGAAACCAGTTAATTGTATATGCTCGGGTTTATGTCTCTTCCATTCTTCTATGTGTCTGTTTTGATGTGTCTACTCTACTCTACATCTCTAACTCTAGAGCACCCATTTTAGTTTCTAGCTACTGGAACTGCTAGGCTGCCATATATATTTGAGATTCAAGACTACAACCTCAAGTCTTTCCTGAATTTCCAGCATCACAGCCTGCTTGGCATATTTTGTCTCA